TACCTTTTCCACCCTCCCATCACCACTGCAGAGGAACTCTGAACGGGGGAGGACATTAAATTAGGGCCTTTCTTTCAATTTCAGGCCCCAAAGTCAAAAGCATTCTTCCTTTTCTGTTTAGAACTCTCTCCTCCCTACCTGGGCCCGTCAGCTAACCTTACACAACCACCACTTTTCTCCTTTATTTTTCATCACAGCTTTTTCCTCCTTTTCATGTCACTATCAACACAGCCTCAGCCTTAAGCCTTTCTCTGTAAACGTCTAGAGAGTCAAAATTTAGGCTCTGTGTTACATTGCCTCTTGCCGTTTTCTTTCTATATTTCTTCCTCTCTTTCTCCTATCCATCTCCTTTTTCATTCCTTTTTTAAAACAACCTTTAAAAAATACAAAAATCATTCTTAGTACAAAAGCCGTACAGAAGTCGTCTCCCAGGCCATGGTGTGCCAGCCCCAGGCCTTGCTCAGCGTCCTGGTGGGAGCACCAGCTGGAAAGCTCTGAAGATTGTCATTTAGCTCTACTGTCTCCCTTCTCCTCTGCCACATGAGTGCGGGCCCCCTGCCCGCTGCTGGGACAGCATGTTGGTCCCAAGTCTAAGCTTAGAGAAGTGAAGCTACCTTCCCAAGCCCCAGGGAACCACTGTCCCTCTGGCCTGGGCATCCAAATGAGGCCTGTGAAGTAGACCTGAACAAGGCCCTGTTTGTTACACAGCATTCTCGCATCCCTCTCTGACTTGGTTTCATTGATGGGGTGCACCCTGGGATTGGAATGTTTGAAAGGTCTCTCCAGTGCTGTGGTATACCCCACACAGGAGTCTAGACAGCCAAGATGATGGCCCCAGCCTCTGGCAATGCCTCCTGGCTCTTGTCCACATCCCTTACATTGTTACCCTGAGGAGCAGGGACCAGCCTTTCCTGCTTTGGGATCTCTGGTACAAAGCACAGGCCCTGCACAGAGAGAACCATGTTACATTTCTGTCAAAAACCTCCAGTCACCTTCCTTTGTAGCCCAGTGAAGGGAAATGTTTTGGGGTGACCAATTGCCTTGTTGTGCCAAATTTTAGTGCTGAAGTCCTTGGGCCCCCAGAGAACCCCAGTCCTGGGTGCACCAGGATGTGGGTCACCCTCTATGGACTCAGGCCTGGGTTCTAGCAGGACTTGTAGTGCTGCCTAGGGCATGAGAGAAGGCCTGCGCTGCCTCTGGGACAGGCCAATGAGTTTTGACCTGGCTGCGCCACTCACAGTGGGTTGGAGGGGGCTCTAAAGTCCCCAGGCCCAGACCAGACCACACCTTGGACCTACCACTTCTGTGACCCAGAAAAGCTGTGCAATCTCTTCTATTAAATGAAGCGAGAGTAGCACCTCCCCAGCTGAGCTGCTTTCAGGGTGAAGTGAGCGGGGCCGGGAGTGTCCTGGGGGACCAGGCAGGCAAACTGGTTCAGTCCTCCAGGTGATAAAGACATGCAGCCAAGGCTGGAACCTACCGCAGAGTATTCCAGATGGGCACCTCAGATTCCTTTGGCAGTAGATGCACGAGGCCAAGGGTACTAGACCACACACTGGCTGTCACTGGAGCAGACCAGCAAGCACTGACAGTCAGGAGTGGAAACTGGCCCATGGGGATGCTAACTGAGCCCAGGCTTCTGTGACGGCAGGCCCTTCAGCTTGGTGCCACAGCAGAGAGAGAATCTTGGAGCAGAGTGCAGTGACTAGCATGGATGAGGCAGCCAGTGTCCTGAGTATCATATCTGACATCTTGGGGCTTGTGCTTTGGTCCCCGATTCTCTGAGCAACAGAAAGAATCACCACAGATGACACTGACATGTGTACCTAAGGGGAGGCCACCCCATGCCCTTTCATTTCATCCTGACGCAAGTCAGCTGGGGAGGCACCACTATCACTCTATTTAACAGGCGAGGACACTGAGGCTCTGGGAGAAAAGACTGACAGCTTTCCTGGGTAATGAGGTACAAGAAGAGTGCTGAACTCCGCACTTAATAGCAACTTTATAGGCTCAGAGAGGCTCAGCAACTCTCCTAGGGTGATATAGCTAGTGAGCAGGGGACTCTCTGCCCTACATGGCACTGTGTCACGTCCTAGTCTAGAAAAGAAAGGGAAGAAGGGAGGCAAATCCTCCTTCGCAGAGCTGCAGCTGCTCTCTTCAAGGATCAGTGGGCATTTTCCTGCTTCCTCTCCTTCAGCCTGAGGTCAGCCCAGAACTTACAGAAGCTGAAGCTGAAGGGGTAAGTGACTTCAATGCTCTGGACTCCTATCCAGACCACTCCTTACAGGAGCCAGGGGGCGGGGAGGGCTGCTGGATGAGCATAGCACTGAGATGTTACTTATACCCTCTGGCCTCAGTTGTCTTCATCTATGAATAGGAATAATTAAACGGACTGGTTCTCTCCATAGTGAGGTGTGCCGCATAGTGAAGGAAGCTGAGATGTGCTGGAAGCCCAGGCAGGGGAGGGGAGGGCCAGGAGCGGAAGGGTGAGGAGGCAGGGGTGGAGCAGCTGGCAGAGGCACAGAGCACAGATAGGGCCCTGGGCAGCCGTGCAGCGGAGGCTCTCAGGTTGAGCTGCTAGGACCACGAGCCTTTAGGCTTAACCATACTCACTGCATTTTGTCACAGCTATTGTATTTTAGAGCCATTTCTATAGAAACCACAACCCCCGCACTTCCTTTTAATTTTAAAGAAACGCAAAAGAGAGTGAGAAGAATCAGTGATGTTGACCAGCCTGAACTCAGCTACCAAGGGGCTCCCTTGTCCTCGAAGATCACCCGGGCATGGCACAGCCACACCAGTGTTTGTATGTGGCCACCAGCGTGGGCATGTTTGGTTTATATTTGGTCATGTTCCACCACAGGTTGTTAGAATCAAATCAGTTAAATAGCAGGATAATTTCATGGTAGGTGGCCCTTTCTGATCTGCAGTCACCAACAAGGGGTCACATCAGAACCCGTCTTACAGAAGGACTCAGCTGGAGCCACTTACCCAAGGCCTTGTACAGCAGTCTGGCTGGGAGCAGGAACACAGGTGCAGCCCAGCCCAGCCACCCCTTTCCCATTCCAGCTGGCAGCTTTTCCAGGGCAGAAAGGCTAGTTGCTTGGAACTTTCTATAGAATACTGTGTGATGTTTGATGAAGGTTCAATAATTATCAATGATGACAGTTGCCTTTGTGCTCCAGTAGAAAACTTGCTGGGACCCATGCGCAAGGTTATAAAACCTCTGCCCCTCATGGCCTGAGAAGCCCTGGGTGTGCAGTGGGGGGTACGCATGAGTAGACGGAGCTGGCTTAGGTTCTAGATGACCAGCCTTGTCATCTCACAGGGGCCAAAACTGTGTCCTGTCAGTAAAGACATTTTGTGTCACAGACTGGATGGTCAGACCGAGTCTGGAGGGGCCTATGGATGACATGGGGCTGGCTGGACACTCCTTGGGGCCAGTATTGCCCCATACTCCCTGGGCACCGAGGAACCTGGGTGCCCCTGCTCTGCCAACCTGAAGCCTGTTTCCATGATGCCAGCCTGGCACATGGAGGCCTCTGTTTGTGGATGAAGGCATGAATTTCTCAGATGCATGATCACAAAGTCCACGTCTGCCCACCCAAGCACAGAACTCTGGGACCGGGTTCCCCTCCCAGAGTACGTCCAGCCTGGTGGGAAGGAAGACCTAGGAGGCACCGTAGCCACAGTAGGACTTGTAGTCTGGCATGCCCTAGCAGCCCTGGGTGAGCTCTTGGGCAGGCCAGGGGATGGGCATCTCAGTGTGACACACGAGACCAGCAAAGAAACACAGAACCAGAAAGGCGGTGTTGGACCAGTGGCAGAGCCAAGGGGCTGGTCTGACCATGAACAGCATGCTGGGGTCTGTAGGATGCTGCTCAGCATCACCCCCCACAGCTCTCAATAGCTGGATTAAATTAGAATGGGGAGAGAGGTGGAAACTGCTTTGCTTGACCTCTTGCTCTGTCACAACTTTCAATTCAAGTGGAAATGATGAAAATGAGTCCCAGGATACCAGTTATCCCTGAAATAAGCTAATTCTGCACTTATATTTTTGTGGAACAAAGTGGGGCACAAATTTTTTAAAAACCTGTTTTCTTCCTGCTCTGGGGGCTGTCTACAGTAGGGCCAGACTGCAAAGCCGAGAGAACCCCCTCTGATGTATTAACTCAGAGGCCGAGGGCAGGGGAGGAGGGAGAGGCAGAGAGAACACCCACGGCCACAGAACACACGTCCTGGGGCAGAAGGAAAGTGCTGGGAGCTCTGCTAATGTTCACGGGCCCTGCTTGCTCAATTTTTGGAACCCCTAGGGATCATTGAGGGTGGTAAGCCTTAGACTTAGTACCCACAAATGACAGGACGCGAAGACCTGGTGGCCCTGACTGGCTGATTAAAAATAAGGTCCTTCCTCTCCCTTCTTCTCCCCGGCTTCCCCTCATCTCTAATCTTCTCCTTTGTATTACAGTGGAAGTGGAACCAGTGCCATATCTAGAAGTGGAAGGTATCCGTAAAAATAATAATGAAAGTACTAAGTAGTGTAGCCAGTTCTGGTTCTGAGCTCTGGCCCTTTCACTATTTGTTGAAAGGGAAGGATGTTGACAAGTGTTAGACATGCTAAAAATGTCCCAGCATGAGACCAAGGCTTTCCCCCACACAATTAGATACACTGAATGCTAAGATGGGAAAACTTTCTTGCATGGTGAGCCAGTTATTCAAAGGCTGCATCATGGACCATTGAAAAGCACCTCCTTGAACATCGAGAGTATCTGTCACATATTTTCTCTGGTAGTAACAGGTATACATACCACCAAGGCTGTAGGGAGTCCGTGAGGCCAGGCAGAAAGAAGGAAACCGCAGTTCACCCCAAAGGGTGTGCTGCCTTGGCCTCCGTCATGCCAGTTCAGGGGAAGGAATGCTGAGCTTGGAGCTGAGGATGGAGCCCCCAGCCCCAGGGAGGGATGCCCAGCGCCGCCCTGTCCACGCCCCGAGGATGTTACCTGGGCGGGAGCGCTGCAGGACAGATGAGCCAGGTCCCCGATCCTGGCTGCTGCCCGGGGGTCGCTGGAGCTGATCAGAACTGGAGCACTAATTTCCATGGAATGCCTGTGGCTGGCAGCCTGCGAGGACCTGTGTGTCATGCTGAGCGCAGTGAAGGAGTGGCGTTTCTTGGCGTTCTTCTTGCTGTCCACACGCTGTTGAAAGGCACTGACCGCCCCCGTGCTGCTTAAAGTGGGACTCGGGGCCACACTGGCCACTGCGCCAGGGTCAGAGGACAATGAGGCGTGGCAGCCAGACACAGCAGCTGGGCAGGGCTTGTCCATCTCAATAAGCTGCTTGGCAGAGTCGTTGAGCTAAGTGAGAAAGGGGGAAAGGGGGGGCCTTCATTAAACAATGATCACATGCGACGTCCAGCTCTCTGAGCTCTCCCAGCCTGTGTTTGCATTTCAAAACTGACAATGTGTTCAAATCGGTCAGATCTTTCTAAAAGGGCATCCAATATGAATGGTGCAGTGAAAAACATGACTGACTGGAGTGACGTCTGCAGATTTTATTGAAAAGGTTTCTGGAGCAGCTGTGTTTTCCAAGGGCTGGCTACCACGTCGGCCCCAGTGTAGCCCCAGTGTAGCCCCGATCTTTTGCTGGGCTGCCCATTTCTGAGGTGCAAGGTATAAACCTGCAAAGAGTGAGGGACCAGAGAGCGAGGAGCAAGGAACGCCCAGCCAATGGCCGACATCACCATGACAACAGGTTCCCAGCCTGCCTTGTACAATCCGGTCACTCTGGCAGGAGAATTCAAGGCATGTGACCAAAATGTACTTTCTAACCACTGGTGACAGCAGGTGGCAGGGAAGTGGCTGGGTGAGCAAAGGGGCCGTGGATGTTCTTTCAGTCAAGACGCAGAGCTGACCTGACCCCAGTCTGTGAGGACTCAAACTGCATCGCTGTCAGCGACCCAGCAAGGACCTGGATACGACTCCTTCCCTTCTCCCCACACCTGCTCCACAAAACAGCAGGCACTTTTTAGGGAGGAGTTTGATCCTGGTGGAGCTTATCGGAGAAGGTAGGAAGGGCTCAAGTATGCCAAGCCCATCAGGAGAGGTGGGATGAGCACCAGCATTCTGGTGGCTAACACAGCTTTCCGTCCCGACGCTGTGCTGGCAGCTGGAGGGGCTGCGAGAGGAGAGGCGCCCCAAGCTCCAGCAGGGAGACCCGCAGGGCCTCAGGTTAGATGAAGGGTCAGTTCACTGTCTAGGAGCCATAGAATCGCCCTGACTTCTAAATTTGGAACAAGTTTTTCATTTAGAGTGTACAACGGAACCCCTTCCCTCTGAGGCAGCACTTGGCTTCACCTAAGTTCATGCCTAAAAGTGGAACTTACAGAGATTGAAAGAGTAAAGTGGAGGGAGCTAGTTATTGTGTGTTCAGTGTGGCCAGGATGAAAATGTGAGGTGGGAATCCGTTTGGGACTACTTCCACCAGATGGGTTAAATAAATGCCATTATGCTAGATAAATGCCTGTAACACTCCATTCTTTCTGCCTCATCTTTTCAACACTAACAGAAAAAAGCTGAGTCAATGCCAGCTAGCCCTCTGGGGACCTACCTCAGGAAGCACTGAGTTAAATATGAGGGAATTCAAGCCCTTGCTTTTTGTTTTCCCCTCCCCGACAGGTGTGGGTGTCCTGGGCTCGGAGCGGGCCTGTCACAGGTCTCTGTCCCATGTGGCTTGGCTGTACTGGTTGGACAGAAAAGCCACAGTCACAACTGCACTAGCGGGCGTGAGTGCCCCAACTCAGCCTCTTGACAGAGCCAGCATGCAGCCAGGCCCGCTGTGGCCCAGAGCAGAGCCTGGGGCGTGCCTACTGGACTCTCAAGGCTGGCGGAGGCGTCATCCCTGCTCTCTCTTTTTTTCTTTCCAAACACCATATTCCCAACTTTCTAGCCTATGGACATAGCTCTGTGTGGTCCCTATGGGGAGATGCCCAGAGAACAGTTGCTGCCAGCTCCTGCTCTGCACAGTTGGCAGTGAAGCCTGAGGCTCTCCCTGCCCTGACCTGGGACAGGTGAAAACGGCCAGGAGAGAGCAGCCTGGGTTCCAGCAGGTGGACAGGGCCGTCTACAACCCACTGATTTCTTCTCAATAGGCTCAGAAGTAGAAAGTTCCCTCCACTCTGAAAAAGTGCCATTTTCCTAAAATTTACTTTAACGTCTGGGCTTTAGCCATGGCTTTTCTGTGTGACCCGAGAGGGAGGTGCAGGCATGCCTTTCCTTGAGAGGCCTGCAAAGTCAGGTTGTTTAGCTATCACTGGCAGAGCAGACTTGTACTAACTGACAGCACAGAGCTAACTGATGTGTTCCCTTATATCGCCCCTGACACATAATAGAAAAGAAAAAGGAGAGGTAGAAAGAAATATACCATCTCAGGCAGCCCTGACATTGAATGGACCCTGCGGCCCTCCAGATGCTATCAGAAGAGCACCCCACAGTCCTCCCATAATGTAGAGGAGGTCTGGATGACGACCGTGAACATGAGATAGAGATAACATTCCCATCACAGATTAATGCTGGGGGTTAGCAAGGCTGAGCTGATCAATGGGCCTTAAGCCCAGAAACCCAGAGTTTCAGTGTGTCCAGGCAGAGTTGGTTGTCCTAGGCTCTCCGCAAGCATTTCTTCTTCACATGAATGCCATGAAATCAGCAGTGGCCCTGAAAGCGGTCCCCTGTTTAGGGTATGGGATAGGACTTGGCTTGGTCAGGACTATACACCCACATTTTTTCTGCCAGGATGAGACTATGGCATGGAATGTCCAGGAGAGGGCCCACCTGGGCAGGGGTGAGGGACAGTGAAAGAGAAGTAGCAAGGTCTGGAAGGGTGCATAAGGTTCAGATGGGAGCAGGGAGAGGAAGTGCTTCAAGGAAATCCACAAAGGTGGGAAGTCCTTGCAGGCAGGTAAAAGCACACTGGAGCCTACTGTGGATGTGTAGGTTGCCCTGTGCAAGAGCCACACCCAGGTCCTCAGCTGAGCCTGGAATGTGTGCAGGAGCCAGGTGGGGGCTGGGCCAGGAAGGGCCAAGTCATCACACAGTGGAGCCCGCCTGGGGCCCGGGTTAGGAAGTTTCCCTCAGCCCTGTGCCAGTGGAGAATAACGCCAGGTTCTCACTCAACACACTACTCAGGTTTGCAGCAGGTAGTGTCTTGGCAAGTTTAAAAAAAAGAAAAGATAAAGCCCTGCTGAATTTAAGCAGTGACAGCACAGGACGCTTCACCTGTGTAGATCACACACGCTGCCTCCGATGGCCCGGTGCGTCAGCATTTTCATTACAAATACCTGTTTATCAGAGGAAGGTCAAGAAAAACTCACTCCAGGACCCCAAATGTGTGATCTAAATCCAGGATTATTTCCTTTGAAATGCTTCCTCCAACCAGGCTCAGCTGTTTTGCTCTATTTTGTGGCTTTTATTCACTTGCTTCCTCCACAGTGCTAGCTCCAAGGACAAAGCAGCGCCTGTTCCCTCCCATGACCCTTGTGGGGTGCTACAAAGAGCCGGCCAGCCTGGACCCCAGTGTTCTGCACCCACCCTGCAGGGCCAAGAGCAAAATAGAGAAGCAGGAAGGCAAAATGCCTCTCATTTATCAGCATTGGAATATGGTCTACACACTACCTGCCAGGTGTCTCCATTTGGAAGGTTATTATATAGAAATAATATGCCTGAGGCTGGGCTAAAATAATTCCATCCTTCCCCAAAGCAGCAGACCTAAACTGGCTACTTAGTCCCTCCATGACTCTGAGTCAGTACCAGAAACTCCATCTTCAACATGAGGAAATCTAGGCACCAACAGGCCAGGTGCCCGCACATCAGGACACACAGAGCCATGATCGGAGGTGAGGCACAGCCTCCAAGAGCACTGCATAGCCTGGCCATTTGGCAGTGCTGTCCGATCACCGCACACAGCTTGCCTCCAGCACTTGTCTGTCCTCAACACGTCTCCCCCAGGGGCTGCTCCTAGCTGACCACATGGCCTTCTCCTCGAGGGAGAGCTAGGGGCAGGGCTATCACGACTTTCTCACTCACTCCTTAAGAATCCAAAGCTCCCAGTGGGTGGTGAGCGCCAATACATTTCCCTTAAAGATAGTGCTTTCCACAAACTGTAGCGAAAGAACTGCTTCTGAGTGGTGAATTCTCAACATTTCATCAGTAGCTCCAGAGCCCCTAACATCTCTGCAGGGGGCAAGGGGGACGTCCAGTGAAATGCCTCTTGATGAGAGAAATGGTTCATTTTTATCTTCTTTACTGAATCTTTGCTGGTGACAAGTGGCTTCTTGTTGGAGATCTATAAAATTGCCAAGTAACTGACCACCCACACCCGGAGTCCTTGGCTTGCCAGACTCCGACAAACGCAGTGGCAAACAGGCCGTGGGTGCGGTAGAATCCACGATGATTGCTATAGCCTAGGACTCCGTCATGGAGGCAAAGCTCACTGTCCGGGGAAGCTGCCACTGTCTTTCCAACAAGCTGCAATTCACAACGCTCAGGGCTGGACCAGGCAGCTGGTGCCACCAATGCTGTTCCAGTTGGAAAGCCTCTCTCTGGGTGAACATGTGCACGCTCATGGACCCATTACTGCAGGACACCCCAGCTGCTGGCATCTTCCCGGGACGGTGGCTTCCTCCTCAGACCTGCTCGGAGCAGCCATAACTTCCCATTTCCTCCTATTCTGGGCACAGTCTCCTCTTGCCCGCAAGCCTCCTCCACACTGTGGGGAAACGAGGTGGCTCTGTTCTCCCCTGAGCAGACCCTGCCACTCTGCCTCACAGGCTCTAGTGGGTCCTGGTTGTTAGCCTGAGTGTTCTGGGGGAGAGCCGAGGAGATGGTGAATGAATGTGGGCGGCTTCTCCTTCATTTGCCCCACAACCAGAATGCTAGAATGTTTTGTGAGTGGCTGCTGACTGCCTACTGTAAACAGGTGGGGGTATAGTGAAGTGGACAAGCACTTTTTGCCTTAGGATGCTCCCCTTTCCCAGCGAAGATGCTCATCTGGAAAGCAATGGGCTCTGCTGCTCCGTCCGCTTGTGGGCAGTTACCTCTCTGTTTCTCCCACCCACACAGACAGGCACACAGACACGAACTGTGCTTTCCCTGTCCATATAACACAAAAATCAGTTATTAATCAACATACCCAACAACTCCAATTTTGATGGTTTTTGATGGAAATAGAACACATTTTCAACTTCCATACAAAATGAAAATAAGGTGGTAGCCCCAATGTTTAAAAGTCTTGATGAGATTGTTCATTTATCAGAGGGCTGTCACTGGCTCCTGGAAAGGGGGCACCCATCACAGGTCTGCTC